GGATCTCTTGAACTGCTAGTTCGTTTGACTGGAAGAAAATGCTGTGCTTTCGTGTTGTTGTAGGTTCTACAGGGGGTTCAAGAGGAATTCATTGATGCTCAACAGGAGGCTGCGCAAGGCGGTAATGGGCGATATATACTCCTCCATATGCCTCTGCATTTTTTCTGTAATTAACTGCCTGCTATTTATAACCGTCTTCGTGTTTAAACAATCGTGCCACTTGCGACAGCGTGCCAGAATTTTCCTTGTTTCACGTGTTGTTATAAATATATGACTAACTTATTAATCCCTTCGTTCCATAATATAAAAGTATTTTTGACACTAATAGAGAGTAGCAATTACTAGCATGTATACATGGGAGTGTAGCGCGGCGGAATAGCCTGGCCAAGTACATTTTCTGGCCTAACCATTCCACTAAGTGCATTTTTTTTAAATCAACACGCATTATTGGTGTTTTTTGGCCTCCAATGTATCCATTTTGTCTGCCTTCACTAACACTATTACTGATCAGGAAGTATAGAAAATTTAACTTGTTTGCTGTTTTCTGTGCTCCCTAATGTTTTAGGATTCCCGGCATGTACTGTCTGTAGCACTTACGATGTTTGGCAACACACCATATCATCAAGTTGATAAAAAACGAACCTCGATGCGAGACTCGATCTGTTGTTGCGGCTCAATCTTTCACGATACCCCACCTTTAGCAGTAGTAGCCTCTCGCTCGCGTATGCGATGTACGCGAAGTAGAGAATTTGAACCTTGCGGCTCACCACGAGAGAAACAATCGGCACGACGGCACCTCACGCACAAAACAATTTTCTCGCAGAAATCACAACAAAGAGGTTTTTCTAAAGATACCTCTAAAACTTAATATAGGTGTTTACCCTGAAACACACATTGTGTCTATTTCATAAAATATAGCATGATCTTTACATCAGTCCCACACATGACTTTTATACCCGTATAAACTCATCTAGCTCGACTTGGCCCTCAAGTTGGTTGTACCCTTATCTGTTCTGTTAGACAAACGAGAACTCTAATTTGGACTCTAATCTAATTTTGCCTTTTACATCTCGGCAAGATCTCAACTTAATAATTGGACTAAACAAAACCAACTCTACGTACTTTAATATTTCTTTTTAATTTGGAGGGCCGTTGGATACGTGTAGACAACAGGAGGCCCCCAACCACTAGCGCACAAACACAGCAACTCACGAGGTAGCAACTTCATGGCCTTTGATCTGTTTTCTGGTGGACGGGGAAACATAAAAAGATAATGGACTTTAATTCCTTGTGCACTAGCACATGTACGGACTTGTAGGATATCATCACTTCCCTTGTGTATACGTATATGTGCTCTTTGAAGTGCATGCATGTTTACTAGGCCCAAGGAAAACAAATCTGTTTCCAAATTATTTTTCTCCCTGGCATAATCTGGTACTCCAGCTGCTCTCAATTTTAGCACATTAGCATGCATGCATGTCACGCTAGTTAGCTTCTCCTCAAACTCATGCTTCTCATTAAAGCTAATATATCTAGGTATATACACACCTCTGGCCTCCAAATCATCAACTTGCGGAAAAGTTTGACAAACATTGGAAAAACTGACATTAGCCCTGGCTGTATCATCCTCTCCCCGTTGAAACGAAACCGTCCTCGGTTTCGAATCAATCTCTTTAACAATATTTGTATTTGCAGTTTGAACGACGCTTGGAATTTTTTTTGCAACTTCAACCTTCTTCTTCTTTACTTTTGATGCAGCTTGAGCAATATCCCGCTTCTTGCGATCAGCCGTATACTTCTCTAATGTGTATGAATCAAGTGGTACGTATTGTCCTCCCAAAACAAAAGAAAATTCGCCAACAGAATGATATATCAACTGTCGTTTATCTGTCCATGGTTTTCCTAGTAGTATTGAACATGTATGCATGTGCACAGAAAGCACATCACACATGACCAGATCACCATATCCACATAGAATAAACTGTACCTCGACGCGATGCATGATTTTGACAAACTTGTCCTTCCACCAAAGCTCGTACGGTTCTGGATGTTCAATCAATGGTAGGTTCAAAGCATCAACCATAGTCTTACTCGCTAAATTCATCCCAGAATAGCAATTCATCAAGGTTGCGCAACTCGCCGGCCCTACACGCACACGCGTAAAGCATTGGTACCATGACAAGGCACGCAATGGATCCTTCTCCACCGACATCATCATTTGCGAGCTACAATCCTTCCTCATGATAAAAAATTCAATAGAAGTCGGAGAAAAATATTGTACCGTGAACAACCTTGCTCTGAATACCACCTGATAAAAACCGAACCTCGATGCGAGACGCGATCTGTTGTTGCGGCCCGATCTTTCACGGTACCCCACCTCTAGCAGCAGTAGCCTCTCGCCCGCGCATGCGATGTACGCGAAGTAGAGGGTTTGAACCTTGCGGCTCAGCACGAGAGAAACAATCGGCACGACGGCACCTCATGCACAAAACAATTTCCTCACAGAAATCGCAACAAAGAGGTTTTTCTAAAGATACCTCTAAAACTTGATACAGGTGTCTACCCTGAAAAATACATTTTGTCTATTTCATAAAATATAGCCTGATCTTTACATCAGTCCCACACATGACATTTATACCCGTATAAACTCATCTAGCTCGACTTGGCCCTCAAGTTGGCCGTACCCTTATCTGTTCTGTTAAACAAACGAGAACTCTAATTTGGACTCTAATCTAATCTTACTTTTTACATCTTGGCAAGATCTCAACTTAATAATTGGACTAAACAAAACCAACTCTACGTACTCTAATATTTCCTTTTAATTTGGAGGGCCGCTGGATACGTGTAGACAACAGGAGGTCCCCAACCACTAGCGCACAAACACAGCAACTCTCGAGGTAGCAACTTCATGGCCTTTGATCTGTTTTCTGGTGGACGTGGAAACAGGGCCATCTCCAGAAATTCGGGGGGCCGGTGCAAAATGCGAATGGGGCCCTAAATTTCTGGAATACAGGTTGCTTCATGAAAATACTATAACAAAAAAAGATTGAACCTGAATTTTAAACTAGCAACAATCTTGAAAATCTTGGCGTATGACAACTTGGTCAACTAACCTACTACATATCTTGATGAACTGATGCATATACACACAATATACTCACTAATATAATCATTCAACGGAACAAAATAGTCTAAATTAAATAGTGTTTCGGTTTGAGCGCACCTGGTGGACAGATCGGTGGTGCCTTCGCCTTAGTATGGGCCACCGGCTGTTTCTAATAGTGCATTTTTATTTCAGAATACGCAAAACATTATGTTAAGAATAGAAAAGAGTATTTACAGAATAGAGTTATAGCGAAGAAAAACTGGATGAAACTTGACATTAAGCAACCCCTTGAAGAAACCTGTTAGATTGGGTCACCCAAATGTCCATTCACCATGACCCTTGTAGTAGCAGCAGAGAGGAACAAAGCCGTGCATTGAATCCAATTGTTCCCAAAACTGAAACGCTGCATAATTTCAATGAGGAATGGCCAGCCAACAGACTAAAAAACACAAGCTATAGTAAGTCAGATCATCAGAGAAGGCACCTTCCTGCGATGCAGTGCACAGACGACTTGCTGTTGCTGTACCATACGAAAATTCTTCATGCGAGAAGGGATATGGGCTGCACCTCCGGGGAGGAAACAAAGCGATCAAACTAGACAACACCTCTAGCCTCCGTCACCGTGCGGCGGCGCCACACTTCGTTCGTCTCGGGAAGATGGATATCGATCGGCGGCAGGCTGCGTCAATCCGGACTCAGAAAAGGTCATTCGGGAAATTGAGGAGAAGGTCCAGTTCAGGAGAGCCATGGGCCTGTGTTAGTTGTAAGAATGGCCCAAAATTAAGGAGACATAGGCCTAGAATCGAGGGGCCCTGGAATTTGGGGGCCCTGTGCGGTCGCACAGCCTGCACAGGACCCTGGACGGCCCTGCGTGGAACATAAAAAGATAATGGACTTTAATTCCTTGTGCACTAGCACATGTACGGACTTGTAGCATATCATCACTTCTCTTGTGTACACGTATATGTGCTCTTTGAAGTGCATGCATGTTTACTAGGTCCAAGGAAAACAAATCTGTTTCCAAATTATTTTTCTCCCTGGCATAATCTGGTACTCCAACTGCTCTCAATTTTAGCACATTAGCATGCATGCATGTCACGCTAGTTAGCTTCTCCTCAAACTCATGCTTCTCGTCAAAGCTAATATATCTAGGTACATACACACCTCTGGCCTCCAAATCATCAACTTGCGGAAAAGTTTGACAAACATTGGAAAAACTGACATTAGCCCTGGCTGTATCATTGCCAAGTTGTAAATAACCCTTGAAAGGTTTAAATAACATTACAAATACACTCTAGTCAAACTGGGTAAGGCATGGGCTTAATTATATGTTGCTTTTCAGATGCTTCGGCAATATGCTCTTCTTCTTTTTTGCGTAGTTCAGATGGTTACTTTTATCTGCTTGGATATAGTACTGTAGCAGTATGTCGCCGCTTTTAGTAGAATATAAATTTATTCGTGCAGAAGAATATTGAGAAGGGCTCAAATATTTTGCTTACACTGCAGAAGAATAAACCTTCATCTAGCGGACATGCCATATATTCTTGACCCATTTCTGGTTCTGGATTTAGGTTGTAGGAATATTGATGTTGGAAAAAGGGGCCGGGAGAACCTTCAAACGAGTGAGTGTCTTATTGGTCTTTAAACCACCATGAAACACTAGATTATGTGAGATCAAGGTTTGACATGTACAGGTATTGATTTGAGTGTTTTCACATTTGTAAGTTATAAGTTACTCCATTTGTGTGAGATCAAGGTTTAACAGCACACCTCTCTCGTGCTGTTTTAGCTTGAACCATCGATTTATGTTTGCATTGTTTGTGCGGGACAAAGATTTTTGTGTGAGATCATAACATCTGAAGCTCATTCGTTTTTCTCTGAAAATGCACAGAGAATGGGGGCACCGGCTGGTGAGAAGCCCGGTGCCGTGAAGACTCATCTGCGCAACATGATCATCATGCCAGAGATGGTAGGCAGCCAGATCGCAGTGTACAATGGGAAAACCTTCAACCAGATTGAGATCAAGCCCGAGATGATTGGGCACCACCTCGCCGAGTTCTCCATCAGCTACAAGCCCGTCAAGCACGGGAGGCCCGGCATTGGCGCCACCCACTCCTCGAGGTTCATTCCCCTCAAGTGAAGGAAACCTCGCGCACACCGCGCGTGCCAAAGCGTCCCCTGAACTCGGTCGCTTTTGTCTGCTTTCGTCGCGCCGAATCTATGTAGCCCTCGTTGTGCAATGCTCTGAATCAGTTATGGCCAATTCCAAGTGGTCTGCAGCCTTTGTTTGAGAGACGCAAGACAGATGCTGTGCTTGTACCTGACGCCCATGGTGCACACCACAGTTGCTTATTCCTCCAGGAGCCTAGTCATTTGTGAGATTTGACTGTGGCACTAGTCTGAACAGTCAAGCCGGTAGTAATCTGTGATGTCAATGCCTGTGCTTGGATACATAAACAAACACTTCGCATTCGCAAGTAATGGGCTCCCCAAGAGCACACATCTGCCAGCAATGGCAACGATCTGCGCCACCACAAAAGGGCCGGCCGATGGTGTATTGGTGTTGTGTTGGAATTATTGGGCTGGGCCCATTTATTATTTCAGATTTTCAATAATTCCTAAGGGAAAATTCCAAAGGCACATTATGACTCATTCATCCATGATAAGGGGGTGTAAAATTTACTACACCACCCTAGTTGATGAGGGTATGTTTAACTAACATATAAGGTTGGCTGCCTCGCGCATTACCAAGAGCTTGAGAAGAGGACACTACAATTGCTAATTCTCACTTGCTCCGCATTAGGACCTGATCATTTTCTAGGATTTTCTTCCGCCATCGCTGCCAAATGTCTCTTGAACCTTGTCTAGTTCGAGCATGAAGCAGCCGCTTTTCGCACCGTCCGCGCATATCCCCTTGCCGATCTCCGCCATTTTACCCAATAGCATCGCGTATCTCGTTTTGTTTTCTGTTCTCTTTGAGCATCTCTCCTCGTACTCTTTCAGCCGCTCCTCTATGAATTTGGGAGCCCACCTGGGCAGCATGTACTGCGCCGGTATTTCTTTGACTCCGAGCTGCGTGAAAACTCTGAATATGTGGCAACAGAGAATCCCATCCCTGGTAAACTTTGCACATTGGCATTTAAATGCATGGGTTCCAGGTTCAGCTAGCACTTCGAAAGAATTTCTACTGAACTCCGGGTTCTCATAGTTGAAGACCTTTTCGAGTCTGTGTCCTCCTTGTATCTCATGCACGTTGAATGCTGTGGAATAGTATAGTTCATTCTGTGCTCTCAGAAATATTTGCCTTGTGTATATTCGCGCTGCATGCTTTTCTATTGGCTGCATGGAGAAGTACGCTGGTTCAGTTGCTGACTGCAATGCATCCTCTTCCTCTGTTTTTACTATATGCTCTTGCATCCTCTCATATTGCTCAATAAACTTCTCGATTCTGTCCTTTGGAAGCACGTTGTCTTTGAATAATAAGTTTGTCCCCTCAAAATATCCAGCTGATTCGACAAATGGGCAGAAATCTGCTTGGAAATAAACAGGCACCCAGTTTTTCCTTGTTTCCCACATGAGTCGGAGGTACTCATTTTCACTTGCATCGTATCTCTCAGTGAGAAAATCCCATCCTTCTTCAAATTCCTTTTCGGTCAGTGAGTTGTCTACCAAGTCGTGCAGCTCTGCATTTATGTTGCCCCTTGCTGCCATGAAGGCTCCTAGAATTTCCTGTGCTTTTCGCATCACACTGAACTTGCAAAATCTGTGCCTTACTTGTGGCATGACCTCAGAAATTGCTGTCGCCATACCTTCATCCTGGTCTGTTATGACTATTCTTGGCAGTTTCCCTCCCATCACATGCAAGAAAGTTTGGAACATCCACTTGAAGGTTTCAGCTTTCTGATCTTGTAGCAAGGCGCATCCAAACACAAGGATTCTCCCATGACTATTCATTCCAATAATAGGGGTGAAAGTCATGTTATGCCTATTAGTGCTGTATGTGGTATTAAACGATATGAAATCTCCAAAAATCTCATAATCTACATTCGACCTCGCATCAGTCCAGAAAAGACTCCTAACTATGTTATCTTCATCTTTTTGCATGGTGTAGGAAAATCCTAGGTTCCGCAGCTCCAGTTCTTTGAAGCGCTTCAGTGCAGTTTCAACATCTGAGTTTTCTTTTCTCCACTGGTTTACACACTGTGAATTGCTCGTATCTTTCTCTTTTATTGATGATACCTTTCCGAAGTTGCTTCTCATTCTCCTGAAAATATTCATAGCTTTCCTTGGATTTACCCTACTTTGTTGCAGAACTCTTAGAAATAACTTTTCTTCACTTGACAAGTATTTGTGGTTCAAAAAGAAACTTGCGAGAGATGGGGATGGACATAATGGATGGTTGTGCTCATGCTTAACTCCTATGAACTCCCATTGCTCATTATGGAGCTTCACTATCACCTTTGCTTGGCACCGTGAGCCCAAAGCATTAGACCTCCTCTTCCTCTTCAGGTCCTCAGTTGGCTTTAGTTTACCACTTCTGTTGCATTCCAGGTCAAACTTCACTCTCCTGTAACTCGACCCCCTCCTTACTGCAAAACCAGTTAGCATAGCATGTGTGCTGTAGAAACGTTCTGCATCTTCCAGGGTTGGAAATCTCATTCCAATTTCCGGTGGTCTTGAATTCTCCAATTCCTCGAAACTAGGGTAGAAGCATTTTCCTAGTTCAGTATCTAACTCACTCCCTGAACTGCTACCTGAATCGCTCCCACTGCTTGTATCATTGCTAGACATTTCGTGCCCTTGTGTAACACCGTGTAATTGGTCTTGTTCTTCAGCGTGCTGCTGCATTCCAGGGTCCACCGAGTTGGATTGTTTATCCGATATATCTGCCAACAGTCCTTGTGCAGCTGTGCCAATGCCATTCGACGCGTGTTCCTGCATGCGGGTGAATGATATCTGTTAAGCTATTGGGTAAGGCTGTATTGAATTCCACTTGTTTTACAGAGCAGTACTCCATATGTCTTGCTTGGTTTCCATACCTGATCATTTCCACCAGTCAGCTGTAGACCTCCTCCTGGCATCGCTTGTTTGCCGACGTTTTCCTGTGTAATTTATTACTTTATTTCCCAGTAAAAGTAGGCATGAGGGCATTCTACAAATATATAGTAGTAGTGATGTTTATTAAGAGGAAGGAAGTCAAAGCCAAGGTCCTTCCCGATTTCTACTACCAGAAACCCACAATGCTACCAACTACACACAGGTGAACCACAAAAGGAAAACACAGTGATGGCACTGAATACCATAATCAGTTGGTTGCAAATGCCATTGTTTCCCCATCGAATTTACTGCCATGTGATACGACGCGAGAGCAATTCACCATTTGTTTCTGGCGACTGCGTATTTCTCTTGCAGTATATCGTCAACAGACGAACGCACATTGTAAGCAGACTCGTTCAAGCGATGAGATACCTTTTCCAAGTGCACCTCTGCTACGGAGTGGTTCGGTTCTACTGCCCGGTCCGGATAGGTCATCGCAATCTGCACCAATTTCACAAAGTTCATTTCACATCTGTGGTAGATACACGCACATGCAGGTAATAAAAAATTCCGCAGACAAATTTATTGGTAACCATGCATACTTGTTCAGAATTGGTTGCAGGGACAGGTCCCGGCGCTTGCTCCCCGAGATTATCTGCCGCTGCCTGCATCCGTGCATCGGCGGCGGCTCGCTGTTCCTGATTTGGCACCTGAAAAAAACAGTACTCCGGTGAGTATCAGCAATAGCCCATCAAATATCCGCCGCCGCACCGGCACCGCGCTGGCTGTGCGGAGAAGGGGGGAGGGGGCTGGATCCGCGTTCGAGGCGGGCGAGAAGAGAGGGGTTGGACCTGTGTGTGCTCTGAGCGGCTGCGGCCTGCGAGGGGACGAGCGGAGAAGCAGATGGCGGCGGAAGGGGAGAGCGGAGAAGCAGATGGCGGCGGAAGGGGAGAGCGGAGGCGGCGCGGCGCGACGGCCGCCTGCTGGATAGAGAGAGTCAGATGGGGAGGAGTGGGGGGAACAGTTCCAGGAGGGAAGGGCGGGCCCCTGTAGCTCTGTCTATGCGGTGAACGTCCGCCCATTAAGGCCTTGTACAGTATAGGTTTGAGTGGATGGATGTTAAAATTCCTACAGAATTTCTATAGTAGAAACAAATCCTTGCACTGTGAATTACACATGAAGAATATAAATCTAAAGCTACTATTTTTTAAAGGTAGAAATGTTTCATATTTGCGTTGTTTGTGAACAAAAAGTATGTATGTGGTTTGCATGGGGCTGTGAAATAATGTTAGTGGATACTAACATGGCCATCTCTGAAAATTTGGGGCCCCGGGGCAAAACTCAAAATAGGGCCATAAATTTCTACCACTAAGGTCAAACTAAATCATCGCACAACACATACATGATGATTTTATAAAGCTTCACTCAAAGAAAAATCAAGAAGTACCAAGGGCAAACTTAACTTTGTCATAACGCTAGCCTCGTTCAGCCCTTTCCCACCCAATCTAATCAAAACAAATAAATTCTTTACCTGATAGTGGAGGACCAGATGTGATTGCGCTCGTAGTTGACTGGTCGTGTAGACGAACTAGCGCCGAGGCCTGGTGGCCGGTCGACGGAACCGATAACGAAACTTATGGGCGTTGTTGGGGCCTCGGCCCTCAGGCAGGAAAAACGATCAATTGACTAGGATCTAATGGGCTGGCTTTCCTAGGTTGAACTAATACGGTGATTTAGGTTGTTGAATTTTTTTCCTAATTAAACCTACACCTATAACAAACTAGTACGTGGTGATTTGGGGGGCCCAAATATTTAGGGCCCCTGTGCGATCATCCACTTTGGCCCCCTCCATTAACGGCCCTGAATGCTGACATGACATACTTTGATAAGGTGAAAGGCCACATGTTAAATATATTAGATTTAGTGGGGGATCAACTATTTTAGGAACAGTGGATTCCTACGAAAAATCTTTAAATCAAATTGACCAAGACTAAACAGTATGCTTCGTTCTCCTTTACTAAAAATCAATATGTTTTCTAGAACGAAGGCGATTGCGTGACCTTAAGAATGAGACATTTATGGTTTACAAGAGTTCTAAAATAT